TATACCGTATAAGTAGAATTTTTAGCGAGGATTTAATTTTGGCATTATTAGCGAGGGTGCTGGCATCGCTAAAATTGAATATCGCTTAAAATTAAATTGCGTATTATTTGCAATAGTTTCTTTAGTTAGCATTTTAAAATCGCTAAATTTACTTCTCGCTAAAAATAAAATACCATATTTCAGGTAGAAATCGCTAAATTTGCGTTTCGCTAAAATTTCAACTTATACGGTATATAATACAAGGCATTATAAGATACACCAGCATTTAGTAAATTTTCTTTACTGTTTTTTTTTTTAATTTTTCTCAAATATTAGAAATTAGTATGAATTTAAAAAGAAGAGTTACCCAGGAGCAAAATTGTTGATCTCCTAAAATTGAAAAAAAAAACTACATTAAACATTGTATTAGAACAACTACAAATGGTAATAAGTCGTTGGTAATTATTGAAAATAAAGTCATACATTGGTTAACAAATATTTTATCCCTAAAGAAAATATGTTCTCTTCCAATAAAAACTTCCACAACATTATTGTTCTGCTCCTATATAACAAGTAGGAGCAAGAATTTGTAGGTGTAGATATTAGATGTTGTCTGTTCTACGTAAAGGTTACAGGCCAAAAACTGTCCATTCTGTGAGAGGAAAGGACTATCAGAGGGCCTTTAGGCCCGACAATTGTTCTTTTTCTCACAGAATGGACAGTTTAGGGCCTATAACCTACTTAAAACATTTACCATATTGTGTTCATAATGTATTCTCTCAGAACTTTTTCTCATCCATTGTACTAAGTAAGCATTGTCTACTTCTTGGACTGTCTCAGGTAAAGGTTGTTTATAATCAAAAGATTCTTATACTTGTAATTGTTAATTTAGCGAACAATTAAAGATAAGTACAGTTTTTAAATAACTGACTAAATAATATTTTATCACAAGGCATGAGATCCCAATGCCATTTAGCTGTGATTGTGCATATTAAAAGTATGTCTTATTCCGAAGGAGGAAGATTATTTTTGATGCAAAACAAATTCAGATATAAAGAGCAATGCATGTGTCATTCTCAAGTGATATTTTGAATCTGGAGCCTAGGATTGTCAAAAAAATTAACGTTTTTACTGAAGAGTGTGTTTAAATATTATTACACTTTGGAACGCTAAGTAAATATAAGCTTTCAGTATTGAAAGATGTAACAACTGTTTTTACTGGAATTCTTAAATAAATCTTAAAAAAAAAAAAAAAATAGCTAAAATTTTTGCTCTTTTTCAACGAATACACGTTGAGAATTGTTTGATGCAATATTTTTTCGATATATGTCACGAATCTTCGAAATATGTTATTACAATCATTTTCCTGATCTTACCATGAAAAAAATATTTGAATGCGTTTTCAAGTAGCAAAGTCCATTTGCAAGGAGGCAATCGACCGATTGCACGATTATTTAACTTACCATCTTCCGACCGACAAAAATTATTCACACAGCGCTGACCACGTGGACACGTAGATTGACCCAAAATCTATAAAATTATAAACGGTACCTCATTATCATAAAAAAATTACACAATATGAAACTTATAAAAGATAAAACTTAGTGAATAAGTCATTTTATAGGTCATTTGTTTCTGCACATGTTGACAACGGGACTATAACAGGAAATCAAGCGAAACTTTTTACTTACGTTTACACATGGTATCCCGGAGATTTGTTGTCGTTGTCCAAAGACACTAACAGTGGATCCCAAGAACAAGGCGATAACCAAATACCACATCTCTATTTTAAAGAGATTTATAAGGATGAAGTACAGGCAAAATATAATAGATAACTTATTATGAACATTATAATTCATTCCGTCTATTACAATGATTGTTAGTTAAGGCTAAGGTATGGGCGATTCCGATGCAAATGAGCAAACTGAAACAATTTTAAAGAGGTGTGTCATACAAAGAGGCTTTTAGTTCCGCTCTCAGTAATACATGTATATGCAGTGTGCATGCCATGTTATAGCCCATGTACAAGTATATCATGACGATATTGTTCTTTACCAATTTAAATAAAGAACAACAAAAAAAAAACATCGGCTCCAGGGTAAATTTTCTTTACCATCCCATCATGGTTTTTATTTACCCAAGTGACCTGATAGTTCAACTGAGAATGATTGATTTTTTGTATGTTGTTCTACGCATCGTTCGAGAAATGATTTTTTAATCACATTTTTTTTTTCTGTCGTGCGTCAGCATTCGTGTGTTGTTTGTAAATCTTGAACATTTTCGACTTCTTCTCCAGAACCACATGGCTGATTTCAACCAAACTAACCACAAACGATCCTTGTGTCAGGGGAATTCAAGTTGTTTAAATGAACGGCCACACCCTGTTTTAATGGGAGATTATTAAGTATTAGTGAAAATATGGTGACATTTAAAAAAAAAAATGTTTTATTTTCTTTCTTTATGTAACAACTTTACAATATGTGAAAATGAGAAAAATTTAAATGTAAGAAGCACATAAAAATAACTAATATATCCTAAAAATTTAAGAAAAGAAAAGAAAATTCGGATTAGCAAATATCCTTTTTAGTTACATTATTTATGTCATTTTGGTTATATTATCTTATCGGCCCTTTATGGTAGTATCTTTTAATTGAAAAAGAAAAACATTCAATCTTTTGAAATACAAGAAGGGATCGCATAATTGGCAACAGTAATTATTGTATTCTTAATATCCAGGAAAAAGGTAATGACCTTGTCCTGAGCTTGCCTCTAATATTAGTATAAAACGGTCAAATTCAATCTCACTGATGCCATCACTTAGTGATATTGTCTTCTTGATTATGTGAAAATTTCTTTAATTTTTTAATACAAGAAATATGCATATACAGGGAGTTTCATAATATATGCTACATTTTTAGAATTAAATATCTTCTTTGTTCATTTTTAATACAATAATGTTCTCTTATATTATTGAGAAAAATATTTTGTTAAGAAACAATATTTTAACTAAAAATATTGGATTCATGACATACACTAAAAGTGGAATTTAACATTTAGTAAAGTGTAATTTAACATTACTATTTTATCAAATGACAATACACCCTGCTTTCTAATGATACATGCAATTTTCATGGATAGCCTCCCATTAATTTTATATGCTTTCTATTGTCTTCGGAAGTTTAAAATTACTGCTATCGAAAATAGAAAGCCTATTTAAGCTACATGTATGGATTACCCAGGGATTGTTAAAACTGCATAGTGACTTTTCTGAAACACGGGATATTTCTCCATCTGCTTTGTATTAAACGATACAAATTATTAAAAAAAAGAAGAGAAATTCACTTTAGGAAACATTCACATTTCAAAGAAGGTTCGGATATTTGCTCAATAAAAACACAGTAAGTGTAGGAAAATGGAGTTTTATTATTGGCCCTACCACGTTCATCCCTCTGCCGAATTCTTTTGAAAGTACAGGACGCGGCAATATTCGACGAGTTATACAAATATCCAGAAAGACTATACAATGTAGTTTTAAGATTTTTCATTAATACTCAACAAGATTGCCACTTTTCCTAAGCATTAAGAATAAAATTAAAATTTGTATAAATGCAAGGATGTGTCATTCAAACTCGTCCAGAAATTTTAAGTTTAAATAACTTTTAGATGAAATAAGATTTTAATTATATTTTCGTCTAAAATGCTTTGCAATATAAAAGTCGTGATATTTCATAGAAAATCTGAGAAAATAATTTCAAATCTGTGTCTATGCACCTTTAATACAAAAGGAAAAGATCGAATATTGCAATGGTTGACATGTTATACATGTACAACCATGCTAAAGCTCTTTTAGTTGTATTAAATATGCGATAGGATGAATTTTAAATAGTTATTTGAATTCATTTGATCAGCAAATACATTTTCAATAATAATTTGTTAATTAAAAAAATTACTTGTACTTTGTTGAATTTAAAACGTCACTATTCTCTCAATAATCCTATTGAAACAAAGGTGAATCAATTACGATCAAGCAAGTTAAAACTTTAAAACAGAGACTAAATTCGTTAACTTTGGCAATTTCAGTTTTAATCGTTTTATAATGTGGCATTTCCGATGAAGAATAAATTGGAGAAATTATTAATATTTCTAAAGCATGTAGGTTTTTTTTTTAATTTGGTCGGATGTTTCCAATAAAATGTATTCCCTTCCTTGAGAACAAATTGCTGCAAATGATGTCTTTTTATACTAATAAACGGACTCTAAATAAGATATATCCCTACCTTGACAAAAAATGGTGCTGTCAGTCACTAAAATAGAAAATATATTTATATAGTAAGTACGTAATGTTAAAACGTTACCTTTTTGTAATAGATTCCACTATGTTTCACATACTGAGAAATTGCTGTCTTTTATACCTTATTCGATCTGCAAATACTAAAACGACCTTTGAATTAGTTTTGATACATCATGAGTTCCACTTGCAGGTTTGACATATTACATAATCAACATGCTGATCTACAAATTTCCAAATTAATTTGGAAATTCCTGTATCTAATCAAGTCCATGTAATGTCTAAACTCTTCTTTAAATCTACTCCTGTTCTTGATTTATGGGTCATAGGAAAATATTTTAAATATCTTCGTTTTGATTTTTTTTTTTTATGTTTTATTATTTGTCATATCTTTAAAAAGATCTTCTTTTTTATTTTAGGGAGCATTGAGAATTAAATAGAGTATTAATAAGTAACAGAAATAGCCAGATGTTTCTCATTTATAATTATATATTTGGAGTGTCTGAATGTGTGATTCTTATCTAATTTATTGCACTATTCTCTTAAAATATCATATTTATTATAAAGAACTGAATCTGGTTATTTTAGTTCAAAAATATAGAAGTGTAGACTATAGCCTCTGTTCTTGTTCACAATAAAACAATTTAAAATGTTCCCTGACTTTGCAGACCCAACACGGTAGCGCTAGCGTAGTGGTAAGAGTTCGATACGGATGGCTGAGTTCGATTCGTCGCCTTTGCCGCGCCGCATTAAACCCGAAATATAAACATATGTAGATGTTGTAGTGACCGTTCCTTTGCCTAGCGCTGACAGTTAAAAGTTGCATAATGAGTCAAAATCATGTGTTTCTTTTAAGATGTATCATACAACAAAAGATTTATGAAAAATATGAGTACACACCGAAGATATGACAACTAAACTGCACTGTAAAGCAAGAAAAGACTGCGCAATATAAGTGCTGGAAAAACAAAGGTTGTATCTACCGTTTCGTTGTTTGTGTGTATGTCAAGGCCACGCCACTTTTATTTTTTAGCTCAAACTTGTAAACAACATTCAACTGGAGCATGCAGAGGTGAGAAATATCATCAAATACGTTAAAACAACCATTTTGTAAAAAAAAAATTGTATCAAATTTCTTGGTCTACCTACATTTATTATAGGTACTTGAGACCATGTTAACCATGCTAAATTATTTAACTTTTCTGCGCACGCGTACAATAGGGAGGAAGATGTAAAGCAATATTTTCGTTATGGGACATACTGAAATTATTTTTACTTATATTTTTCTCCATAAAAATAGATTTTTTTATGTTCTGAAACCTGTAATTTTCTGAAACCTAATGCTTTCAGGAACTGAACAAAATTAACACGGGTCATGCAAAAATTCTGCGTTTGTCCATTTTCACATTTGTGCGTCAGGGTGTCTCTTTAATAAAAGAAAGAAAAAAAAACATTATTTGCATTTTAAAGTCTGTAAAATTAGCAACGCTTTAAATAAGAATTATAAATTTTTGGTTTAGTTTAGTTTTGTACCGTTTCATTAAATTTTTACCAAAACCTATTGGGAGGAGTAAAGTTTAATAGAGTTTTATAAGTCTCCTTTTTGTAAACACTGCAATAGTGCTCAAATAAATGATAACCCAATACCTAAAACGATATATTCTAGTAAAGTCTAGCTTCTATAGCCTCTGTTCTCCTTTACCATAAATCAATGTAAGATTTTCCACGACTTCAGAGACTAAGCACGGTAGCCTAGTTGTGGGTGTTTGCCTCGGATGGCTGTGTTCGATTCTCCTTTACTGCGCCGCATTAAACCTCAGATCAGATGTAACTTACTTGTAAGTAGTTACTGTTTCTTTGTCACGTGCATGACAGTGGAATTGATAATTAGACCTATTTGTCATTCCGGTGAGACCTTAAAAACCGAGATTTCGTGTCACGAGGCGTTATTCAAAACGATAAAGAAGCTTGATATGTTATGACATTGAGTACCGAAGGTCAAGATCTAGTAAATAACTTTAGACTAATTTTTTGATGCTAGATACATTATGACGTCATAATCAATTTCAACTTTCTTTTTCCCGTACTATACGGCTTTAGCAAAATTATGTAGAAAATAGGGTATTTTCATGACATTAAATTTGAAATCATATGAAAAGTAAACCGGATACCTATATTAAATTTTATATTGATTTAAAGAAGAGGCCATGAACATACTAATTACCGTTTTCTGAGAGACTGTAGGCAATCTGGATACATTTCCTTTGTCGAATATGAAAAAAACTCCCAAATTCATGACTGATTTTCTTAATTTTTCATTGAAAATGACAGTTTAAAATACAGTTTTTCATCATGTTTACCTACAAATTATGCCCCGAAACACCTTATTTGACCAAGCTAAAGTTATAAAGCATCAATAAATGAATTAATTTCTCAAGTTTGATAAATCTGTAGGCACCTTTCATTTACTAGATCTTGACCTTAAGCAATACTTAATGGGCCCTTTTTATGTACCATTTTACTTTAGAATTTATTACCAAATCGTTCTCTTTTGGGAATAGTTAGATACTAGTGGATATTTCTAATTAAAAAGCACGATAAGCAACACCTAAATCAGCATGGATTTGAAACAATCGAATATTTTTAAATGCCTATGGACACCCTAAAATTCCGAAAAAGTCTTACCGAACCTTCTTTTAGTTTCGTTTATGTAAATCAAGGCGAATAGATATTTAAATCGACACTTAAACAATATGATGGTGGATCATAGTCGGGCGCGTTTGTGGAATGTTCCTTTTTGCCAAATCTCTTTTTAAAAAATAAATGAAGTTGTGTAGTTGCCTGTAGCCATTATGATCAAACAAATAAATTGGTATATACTCTGGCATTTGGAAAAAAACATGCAACAATAGTTTCATTGAATTAGAAATTAAAAAGGAGTGTTTAGGTGGCTTTCAATACCTGTTTCATTGTCTTGCATGAATGTTAAAAATGTTTGACACTTTCATGAATGGCACTAAACTCTCTTTACCCTCCCGTTTTCTTAAACACATATATACAAATTCTAAGTGGCACGACTGACTAAATGATTCAAAACCTGCTGATGTTTTACAGTGAGCACCTTTGAATGTTTACCTGAGTAGAACGCACGTGACTATCAGTATTTAGATAATTTATTCCACACGTGGGTTCAACATGGGCCATACAGGTAAATAGCACTCACTAGCTATAAGAAAAATATTGTATTTTTTTGTACATTTTTAATATTTTAAGTACCAGCCTAATCGTATACAAATTTCCTACTTTCACGCAAGTTTTATAAATGTATTATGCGTCTTTTTTCATTCGCACAAGTTAGTACAAAGTTAGACTCATAGTAAACAAAAGCTTTGAAATGAATGACCGTTCTCGATTTACTATAGAAAATCACAAATGTCGGCTGACCCCTGCCACATTCTATGGTTTTGTTCTTTGTATATTCGTGAATTTCAGGGGTAAAATTTGTTGAATCGTACGGTTAAGATATCAGTTAATGATTTGGGATGAAAAATTTTGCTTAATTTGATAATTAAAAAATTAAGCATCATTTTTAAGTTCTATCAATAAAACTGAATTCTACAATGCAAATCGAACTATATTAAATGAAAAAACCGCGATTTAATTCCATTCAAGTAGAATTAAACTAGGGACTATATTTTGTGGCGGAAGGTTTTTTAGACGAAAATGATCAGGTTTTTTTCCATTTTGAACTATAACAGTACTTTTAATTTTGGATTCCTATTTTTCCATGCTGGTGCGCACAAAGCTGTTTTTTGCTGTGAAATGTGTTATGCTGGTTCTGAAATATCTATTAAATTATTTTTTATGAATTCTATCAACAAAGTGTGGCAAATATAGTTAATATATTCTGAAAAATTGAGTCAATTTTAACGTAAAATTGACACTTTTTTAGTAATATCTGAAAATGTACATCATATACCCCCACTTTTGATGATCTTTTCTAAATATTCAAGATAACTTTGACCTATTTGCTTAAAATCAGAAAAAGTTTAAGACTTTAAAATAATTTTCTTGCTGATTAAATTTTCAATGCTGGAAAAATCACATTTTATTAGTGCAGAAAGGTCAAATAATTGATTATGCGAAGCAATTTGAATTGAATTTTTTTCTTAGTCACAATTTTTAAGTGTCTTTTTTTTTTTAAACAGATTTAGAGTTCAATTGGTTTCATGCTTTAATTGGATAAAAATATTGGAGGGAAAACGTCGAAGATGTAATTTTCAATTAAGACACAAATTTCAGTGCAAAAAGGTCATATTATATGTACTGTAGCGCCAAAAGAAGCATATTGACCCCCATTTTTTGATTTGAATTTTAATTAAGCTATGTATGTAGAAACTAAAAATATACTTGGCAAAAAAAGTTTAAGACTTTAAATATCAGGATCGAACGTCGTTAAAGTCATTTCTTCTACTCCAAAAATTGCAACAATTTTAAATCGTCATGATAGTTATTCAAAGACAAGACTATCTCTCCACTGGTTTGTACTTATTAAAAGAAAAAGAAAGGCATAATTTGAATGAAACTTTGTAGCATTGGCAACCCCGTAAATAAAAATTATGAATTTTGGTTTAATTTACTTGTGTATTGCTTCATTAAATTCTGACCAAAACCTGATAAGAGGAATAAAGTTTTTAAAAATTCTATTATCCTCTTTTTTTGAGTAAACATTGCTATAGTTTTCATATAAATCAAAGACCAATATTATAAATTATGCATTTTAGTATAGTCTACTTGTGTACAAAATCTTATTGAAATTGAAACAAAATTGATAGTTGGGTAATATTTTGTAGTTTTTGGGAGTTGAACTATGTTCAGACTCCCTAGGTCGTCACGCGGTTTCTAGCGCAGTAATTTTACAATGAATTATATAGCGGCCGTCGTGGTGTTTCTGTGTCGGCCAATTTACTCCCATGTGATATTCAATACAAACTCGTACCAGTCTATATAAACTCGAAGAAACTTCCGCAATAAAAATAGTCCATCTCATTTTTCTGAATTAATCTAATTTTCATAAAAGATTTGAAAGTGAATGAAATAGAATTTTATTTAACTTAATTTGAATAGCATATTTT